GAATGCTTAATAATTTAGTTCTGAGGTTGCTTCCTATAGGAACATATATACGTTCTTTGAATTTTAAAAGTCCCTCGGGACTTAGACTCTAGCCCTTAAACCCGGGGTTTACCTGCTTTATAGCAGTCTTTCGGCGCTAGGTCTCTAGGTCTTCTTCTTGAAGTTGTCTAATTAACTCCTTAAGGTCCTTACTCGTCTCTTTAGAGTAGGCCTGTTCGGAGGTATAAGTAGGCTATACCCGTGCTTTAGGGAGGCGGCAACTTCGGCTAAGCTCTTCCTAGTTAACCTTCCCGGTTGATTTATTACTATCTTTATCTTCTTTGAAGTATAGAATTTACGAGGTAAGCGCTCTTATAGTCAGCGACTGGACTATAATAGAACAGTGATTAGTCGTCTATAATTCGCTAGCTATTCGACGGCTTAATAGCGAAATCAGGTTAACCTCCGGGTTACTCGGTAGCTATCGCCGAGAGGGTCTATCCGCGGGATTCTTTGTCCTAGCGCGATACTTTATTACAAAATCAAAAGGTGTAAGAGATAAATACTATCTAGCTTGCCTGCTATTAAGCTTTAGCTGCTTTATAAACGTTTGCAAGTTCAAATAGTCCGAGAATACTTTAATAGGGTACGTACTTCCTTCTAGGTAGTATCGCTAGTGTTTAAATAAGTATACGATAGCGAATAGTTCCTGATCCGGTGTCCTATATAGGACCTCCGTACTAGAGAACTTCCGTGACTAGTACGCTACTAGGTGCTAAACGTTCTTCTCGTCTAGTTAGGATAGTATACCTGCTATCGCGCTATTAGATGCGTCGGTTTCTAGCCGAATCGGTCTAGATAGGTTAAAGTGTCTTAATAGGGGTGCTGATTAGAAGGTAAGGGTTAGGCGGCAAAACGCGAGCCTTTCGTGAGGGGCTAGGTTGACCTGGCCTAGCTTACGCCTGTTCTTGCTTCCTTTTAGCAGCCCTGTAAGTAGGAGTGTAACCCGAGAGTAATTTCGGATGAATCTACGGTAGAAATTATAGAATCCTAGGAATACCTAGATATCCCGGTATGTCTTAGGTATCTCCCACGAAGCGATATCGGAAACCCGCCGAGGGTCTATCGAAATACCCTTCGGGGAGATCACGAAACTAAGGAATTTAACCTGGTCTTGGTAGAATAAGTACTTACTTTGCTTTATATATAGGCCTACCGATTGTAGTCAGCGGAGTACCTGGAGAAGGTAGTCTGTATAAGACTCTTGGTCTAACGAAAAGACTAGGATATCGTCAAGATACGCTACTATAAAGACGTCGAGTACGTCGTAGAGCGTAGTATATATATAGTTTTGAAAAGTTGCGGGTACGTTCGTGAGGCTAAAGGGTATAATAGTGTATTCGAAGTGCCCGTAACGCGTTCGGAAAGCTGTCTTCTACTTATCTCCTTCCTTGATACGAATTCGGTAGTACGCGTCTTGGATATTAATCTTGCTAAAGACCTTAGCACCTAATAACTAGTCTAAAATCTCTAAAATAAGGGGTAAAGGGTACCGATTCTTGACCGAAACCTTGTTGAGTCCTTAGTAGTCGATGTAGAGGCGTAGGCTCCTATCCGATTTTAGCACGAAGAGGATTAGGGCCCCTGCTAGGCTCTTGGATTCGCGTATATAGCTGTTCTTAAGATTCTCGTCGAGGTATCGGCGTAGTTCGGCTAGCTCTTTCTAGGAGAGGGGGTAAATCAGACCGTAGGGCACCTTTGTACCGGGGAGTAGGTTAATCGTATAGTCGTATTCGGTAGACGAAGGTAGGATATTAGTGATTTAGGATATAAAGGCGTCGTAGACCTCTGCAAGTTCGGGTAGTAGTCGGCTAAGATCTAGTAGTCCTTCGGTGGGTTCTCTATCGATCGGTAACTATACTTCTTCGGGTAGGCGTACTACGGTAAAGATATATACGTGGTTTCGGGCCTATTTCGCAAACTTCTTTAGTGGTAGGATTTCGATCGTAGGTGTTCTAAACTACTAATAGCTGCTTTATCTAGAGATATATATATCGAGGTCGTGGATCGTAGTTATAGAGAGGAGTACTAGGCTTCTATAGAGCCGGGGATCCCGGTTAATTACAACGTAAGAGCGGGTAAATCGACGGGTAATTCCCCGGGAATCGGTAGCCTCTACTAGGATAGTCCAAACTCCGTATATTAGTGTTAGTCGTTAGTTTATAGCGTAGATAAAAGGTCCTGAAAGCTTTGCTTGTTAGAACTTATAGGTCTTAACGAATTCGAAGCTAATAAGGTCGATCTTAGCCCTACTATCAAGATCCGCGTAGGTTTCGAGATTATTTCGTATAGTGATCGGTATATAGAACCGAGTCCGTGTCCCTACTACGGGGAAAGACGAAGGTGTAGGGTTTACTCCGTCTCGCTACTGTTTCCCTATCGGGCGCTCTACATAGTAGTAGGTTTTTCGCTTAAGCGCTTCGGGTAGGTGTTAGCGTAGTGATCTAGGCTACCGTACTAAAAGTATATATTTCGTTTCTAGCCCTCTTCGGTAGGGTTCCGATAGTCCTTCGTGGGTATTTCGTGGGCCGTTAGATTATTGTTATTGCTTTTCCGGCGGCTACCTCCTCGGTAGCTACCTCCGTATTGACCTCTATAGCTATCCCTCCTAGGGTACGGGAATCTTCCTTGTTCTCCTGTAGGATTCTGAGGGAATTCCCTTTGGATTTTCTTCCGAGAGGGTTCCGGTGACCTTCCGTTGCGTTTTCGCTTGCGATCCTCCTCTGTTTTGTTTATATCCTAGAAGTAGTAAGCGATATCGATTATGTCTTCGCGGGTTTCTAGTAATTTAATTATATAGCGGCGAATAGTGTTCTAGAGCGGATACTAGAGCTTCGCAAAGTAGGATAGGGCTCTCTCCTTCTCGGCCGACCGTGGGAAGTACTATTCTAGCGTATCGAGGCGCGTATAGAACTCGCGAGGGTCCTCGTCTCGGTATTAGTAGGTTCTCTCGAGCTGCCCTATTATATCGGATTCGAGACTAGCTGTATTCTTAATAAGGGTTAGGGTCTAGTCCCTGAAATAGGGCTAATCCTCCTTAAGGTTTCGAGGGGTAGTCGATCCCTTTTCCTTAGCGTGTCGGTACTATCTCTGCCGATAGGTTTAGTTTATATAGCTAATAGCTCCAAGGATTTTAGTACGATTATCATAATATTGCTAAGGTACGCCCTCGAATATCTGTTGTAGGTCGAGGAGCTATTCCTAACGTTTTTGGAGTATATAGTCTAGCGTGAAGATAGGTAGATTTTTGAGCTCGATCTCCTGGTCCTTTCCTGACGAGGAGCAGGGTTCCTGGTAGGGGTTCGGCAGGAAATCGTTTAGGTTTCGTCCTATAATCTTAGATCTTAGGCGTTCGGCTTGATCTTGCAGGTCCTTTAGGCGTTGTAGCTTTTCGATAGTAGCTTGGGTAGCTGTAAGGTTTAGGTCGAGATCCGACGCAGTCGTCTGGCTGGTATAGAGGGTTTCGGACTCTATAGTTGTTGGTTCGTCAACGTTACGGGAGGGGTTCGGTGCCTCTTCTGTAGAGGGTGTTGAGCGAGTTCTTGGTGCTATCTCTCCTAGGTAGCTGAAGAAGAAGAAACAGAATTGTAAAGATAGTCTACTTGCAGGGTAGAAAGCCTGTTAACTAGGTAGGAGAGCAAAGCACTAAGTCCGATTGTAACAGAGACTGTTTCTTGGGGGGCCCTCTTTCCCGTCCCCCCACTGATCTTATATACAGTAAACCCTACCACGAGAGGGGTAACCACGTTGGCTTGCATGAGCTGTATGCAGATCGGCGGATGACTCTCCTCCGTGGGAACAGCGGTGAGAAGGCAGGGATAGGCCACCCTGAAGGGGTGCTCCATGGTTGATCTCTATAGATGATCTCCCCGGGTAGCCTGAATCCCAAGGCCGAAAAGTGTGAATAGCCTCATGGTGGGAAATATCATAACAGTTACGCTCAAGCACGAGAGAGATATCGATCAATCAACATGGTAGCATTTGACCAAAACAACTAAGCATGAGAGAAGGAAAGAAGGCAGAACGGCGAGAGAGCTATCTAAAATAGTAGATAGATACCTCAGGAACCAGGCATCAATCCTGCTGACGATCGTCACACCAGGTAGAAGATGGTTGAATCAAAATAAACAAAGATGATTGTTAGGGCAACGGTTCGGCTACGAATCAATCTCTTTTTCCATGCAAGTCAAAACATCAATTGATTCTTGAGGATCTTCTAAAGGGCCCCATTACATGAGCCTTTTATCCTCAAGCCTCTCTACTACATGACGTAGTATACATATGTCACCTGTCAAGTAGAAACCTTCCAGAAGGGCCCATTACGGTGCGAGCCCATCATCAAAGAAAGCAAGGTTTATATGACATACTTAGCAAGGGCCTAAACAATGGCCCGAAGCGTTGCCGGAAAGCGGTAGTTTTGATGTTCCCCATACAGAACCAAACCATCCCAAAAGGCATGTAGAAAGATCTCTTTTTACACTATGCTTTAAACTGTTTTCTCTTCTAGCGAATCCTTATACTGTATAGAGTCTCTAATTCTACACGCCTTAGGACATAGAGCCTTCTTATCTACTATTACTTACTAGTATATCTCTTCGTTTATCTAAATATCTGTCACACAATAGCTGTTATCCTAATAAGAGTTCTTGGACAGGATAACGCCCAGAATCTAATCGAGGACCTACTATTTTTGTGGGAGAATATTTCCTGCTTTCTGCAGAGCTAGGCGGTGTTACTACCCCCGTAGAGATAACTCCTATCACCTCTAACTACCGAAACAAGGATGCTAATACAGCCGCTAAGTGCTACCGAGGACACTTGCTTTTTAACATATACAGCTATAAATGGCCCTCTCCTTTAATGATACAGGATAATCAGTCATTGTGCAATTCATATAAGCTAGGAATTGAATTTTCTGTTTCAGAAATACCCACAGACGAAAGGATCCAAAACCATGTAATTTACTCTTTGAGCTGCCACCGCCCACTCTCGATATAACTTTTGATCCTATCATTTTCCCTTATACTTCTCCAAAGTGCCCACAACCGCGGATACTTCTCTTCAGTCAGAGAGCCAGGAGGAGACGGAACCCACTTAGATATGAAACGATTCAGCCAGGTAAAGGCGTAAATGTCGGGTAATGAGGCCTAGAGATACATCAGTACCTAATCAATTTCACATAGAAAATTGCAACAAACCTTTTCCCCTCCATAGAACGGACCCCTACTTGCCAGTATGTTTTCGTGCGTATCAAGGAACTTAGGAAAGGAATCCCAGAATTCTGCGGCGCCGCGTTTCTTTGAATCCTCATCGTTTACCCGCCAAACCTTCCACATAAACATAGCAATCATATCGCACCAAGCTGCATGATACATGTCTAACACAGCTGCTTCTATCGGGTTTGATCCGAGGAGGCCAAGATCTGCGGCGAGGAAACGCTCCACGGTGTGACTTTCAGCAATAGATACCTATTTCGGGCGATCAGTAGTTGTTTGTTCACTGCAATAGGCTAGGTCTCTGTACCCAATCTCCAGTAGTCTCCTGAACATGAAGAACTGGTAATTGTCCAAGCGGAGTGGATCCTTTTTCTTTGTCCCAGTCCTACAGTGCTAAGTTAGATACATAATAGCAGTAACGAACCCCGACTCCAGCACTCACCTTAGGGTAGACATTCTCGTACTCCGCACCGCTGATCTCAAGGATCAACCGGGCTGTCTCGGCGAGACCCTGCTGACGGCGGTTATAAATGCGGTATTTAGCCATTTTTGGGCAGATGAACGAGAGAGTATTTTGCTCTGATGAGGAAGAATGTGGTTCATATTTAAAGTCAGCCATAACCTATAGACCCATGAAGCTGTTATTGGGCACCCCTGTTAAGGTCGTATCCAAAATAGAGCTAAGTTCGTGTTAGTCAGTAGTCGGCCCCTGGATTGGATGGTTTAGTGTGACTCACTCATCATGCAATATCAGGTAAAACATTTCCCGGCCGATACACTCGGGCTAAAATTAGCGAGATAATTTCTTTCACGTTGATAGTACTTTATGTTGACTATTCATGTCTTTACGTACTTAACTAAGGCTCTTTGTGTTACTCTCGGTACACCCCGGGGCTTGGCCCCACCGCCAAGGCCTTAGCGCAAATCATTCATTGAGCTGGTCGCCCTAAATTAAGGGGCCTAGTATCGCATGCATTGCCAGAGGACTAAATTATTCAAGGCCTCACTGATGATGTTTCTTCCTTTCCTTTCCATTTATAGTTTTTTTGAGGTTGAAATGGAGCATAAGCTTTTTCGGAGGTCCTCTCTCCCCTGTGGCATATGATAATGGGGCTAAACTAGGCATTATGCCTTGCCGGTAGCCCCATTATTTTGCGACCATCGCGAGGCTGCAGAGCGCGACCTCTGTTTATAGAGGCCTACATTATATGAGCACGCCTCCCTCCTACCAATGTCTATCCAGAGTGCTAGGTATTGTTTTCATCTATTCTAATCTTGGCAAATGACCGATCGACACCTTACGCTACTTCTCCGGCAAATCACGTCTGTATGAATATAAACATTTTCTTAGAATTGAGAATTACTGGCCACAAACTGACTCAAGCGACAGCAGGCGTTACCCCGTTCAAATCCCACCTTAACTCTAGTCAAACTCTAGTCAAACTCTAATCAAACTTCAAGGATACAACCAGTGGGGCTTAAGCAACTCACGTCACCCTGTTGTTCGCTACCTCTGTCTCAAATACAAACACGGCTATGCTATAACCGCTTTGGGCTCGTTAGTATACCTCCAGTCGCATAGTGCATGTGTTCAATCTGTCCGCTATACTTGGTCAATGTTTTGAGTCTATAAATATTGACCTAAGTCTGTCCTCATCGACCGCTACTTAGGGTTGGTGGGAGTAGGCAGATAGCTACGTTCAGCAAAAATTACCTCTCCCATTTCTTTCCACGCACCCGCCATAAGCACTAGCGAACCCACCAAGATCAAACAGGAGAATGACTCAGAATTTGGGTGGGCTGACGGGCCCAGAGGCTCGTATCTCTAGGAACAACCCCGTTGAAGCACCCTGGTCGGCAGCAAATAATCGCTGAGGTTGGTGAAAAGAAGGGAGGGCGAGCACAGACTGGTCTGGGGAGTGGGGCTGGAACCCGGGACAGTTTTGCAACGGTGAAGCGAAGCTCCATCCGCACATTTCGACTTGCAATCGCAGGGAACGAAGCCTACTTGCAACGTTCGCCAAGTGCTCAAACTCTACGGCTTGCCGTTATGGATCCCAGTATCAGTTGATCGTTCCTGGGGCTGATAGCTTTCCAGGATCCAATATCGTGCTTCTGGGGTACGCACCTGCTAATCCCCCGGCATGGCATAGCCTACATCAACAAGTCAAACTAATCAACCGATACAAACCAGGCCAAACAAGAGAACAACACGATCAAATCAACAAAGCAAGTTCCGCCTAAGAAATCGGGCTACCAAGCACCCGTCAGTGGTTCCCCTATTACACTAGTTAGATCAAAGGTAATGAGTCAGATTAAATTCAAACATAAACACCACCATCGACAGTCATTCTAAACTCAATCTTGAACTAAAGATACAAATTAGTCTTCCAAATACCACGATCATCTCGCACAACACGGAAGAAAACCGCGAACTTAAACCCCCTAACATCCAGAGAAACAATCCTCCATGGTATTACCCACCCCTCCACAACACATCATCCATCCACCCCAAAAACTCCTCCGAATAATTCCCCACCCGCCTCATATGATCCAGCCTGCGGAGCGCAAGCTGATGCATCCGCGTATCATGTGGTTCACGGTACACCCAGTCCAGGACCTGGAAGAGCGGGATTATGAAGACGATTAGAATGAACCAGAAGGTTATTGCTGTGTAGGAGAGGAAGCGGAAGAGGCGGTGGGTGTTTTGGAAGAGGGTGGACATGGTGGACATGGTAGATGGTTGATTTGGATGTGGTGAGGGTGGATGGTGGAGGAGATGAGGGTGTAGACCTGGAAGTTGGGTTGGATTGGGATGTGTAGGTATCCATGGATCTTGGATATAGAAGGAGTGAGATGGAGATGGAGATGGAGATGGAGAGATGGATAGGTTTCACTGGGGAGGGACATACGGTAGAGTAAACGTTCTTGGTGAATTGGCTTTGAAGTATCTATCCGGGAAAGACCGTGTCCGTCTATATAATTACAAGAGCGCATCTGTATCTAATCCCACTGCCACGGAATAATGCATCTTAAAGCATGAAAGAGATAGATATACACACCCTAGTTCGGCTATTCCAGAAGATACCAGGTGCGGAATTAGTAGTATTCAAAAATCTGATCTATCAGTAGGAAAGTATCACGCCTCAACGCAAGCGCACCATCGAGTCAACCCACCAAGTAGAAAAGCCACAAACCAAGCCTCAACCCAACCCCAGTAACCAAAAAAGTCTATATCCAGAGTACGGTACATGGAACAGAAGAACACGAATAATTAAAGAAAGATGTCGAAAACACGGGGGACACAGAGAGAACCATCGCCCGAGGTATATACAGAGATCTCTGCTGGGCGTATGATAAGGAAAAAGTGGTTTAGTCGAAGCCACGAAGACGGAAGAGATATGGATATGACCCCTTCCGGGTCGGACCAGAACAGGGGGAAAGGTGTCCAGGCCCTGGAATCCGTGATCTGATGAAGGAACAGAGGGTGTAGAAGGAAAGATAGGTATTGAAGACAAATCAATGGGATCTGTACAATCAAAGAAAAGAACAAGACGAGGGGTGTGAAGAAACGCTCAAACTCCATTCCCATGCGCAACACCACGGCAGTCATTTCTGCAATACAACAATCCGAAACGGCAAAACAAACAATATAAGAAAAGAGAAAAAACATAATTGATTCCAAACAATAAACAAAGAATGCATATCACTCCTCATGGTTTCTTCTTAACATGTCTCCCGCCATCCTCGGGCATTTCATCACCATCAATAATCCGCCACAACCTCAGTGGCGAAAAACCACTGCCAACCAGGTAAATGGCGACGAACCATGCCGCCAGCAAGTTGGCCAGGTGGTGCAGCAGGTAGGCGTATGTCACGCCGTAGACGGCAGAGTACATGGCGATGGCGAAGAAGAGCATGGAGGTTACGTGGCGGAAGCGGGTGGTGATGCGGGGGATCATAGCGCCCGAGGTCATGGTTTCGACGAGGAGGAGGAAGGGCATGACGGAGAGGACGTTGTGGTGCGAAGAGAAGGGCATGAACCAGTGGACGACTAGGTTGTGGGCCCAGACGAGGAGGACGAGCACGTTGATTGGTAGGACCCAGAGCATTAGAATTAGGATGGAGTGGGCGTAGTTGCTGAAGTTGAGATGGGAGGTTGATCTCTGCGAGGGTGTTAATAGGAGTGGGGATTACAAGGAGGGCAAGGGGGGTTGATTGGAACATACGGTTTCCTTGGCGTGCCATTGACTTCGCACGGTGGTTGCTAGTTGCACGATACAGGCTACCATGTAGGCGAACTGGTAAGGGATGATAGTAGAGACGAGAAGAAGCAGAATCGCGGTATGAATAACGCGACGGCGAGGGGTGGGAGCGCTAAAGATGGGCAAGTTGCCTCTGTCCTCGCGGCGAATGTAACCCGATTTGCTGTTGATAGCACCGTAAACCAGAGAGAAGATGTTGACGAGGAAGAGGGCGATGTAATTGACCAAAACGCAGACGCCGACACTGATGAGACCAAAGACCGGGACTAGGAACCAGAAGAAGGCATCCTGCGAGCCAAGCAACAAGTCGTTCTTTGTAAAATCGAGCGGTGTCTCGGTGGAGTTGGTCCGCCAGTGGAAGGGATCATCAGACTGAGGCAGAGCCTTGGTGGTAGCTAGGGAAGTGGCCAGAAGGGACATGGCCACCAGCAAAAGCGGGAGAGAGGATCGCAGAGCCCGGTCAAGACCATCGGTGAAGGGAATAAAGTAGCCTGTCTGATCGTAGACCTGGAACTGCTTGCGCAGTACAAGGGCCACGACAAGGAGCGGGAACGCCGCAAAGACAGTACGATACCGCATCACCAACTCGCCCAGACTACCGGTGATGTCAATCTTCAGCGAGATATCCACAGTCTCACCAGGGCTGGGGTCAGTCCAAAGCTGGAACGAGACACCGCCCGAGGACGCCGAGTCACGAACAGGAGACGGCATGAACGGCGCAACACCATGCAAGTTGACGTTGACATCATTCACGTTCACAAAGAACTTGGACTCGTGCGGATCCGGAATGGACTGACGCAGCAGCGGAGCAAAGAGCTCGGCCTTCTGTGGATGCCGGGTAATTTTCAGCTTGTAGTTGAGAAGACTGGAGTGCAACGCTGGGATCGTCACTTCAGTAAGCATGGGCCGATTGGCGGGCAATCGCATCTTGAGACCGGCACTCAGCAAACTACCCAAGCCAACCTTGGCGCGGATCATGGAATCAGAGCTATCCGAGAACTCGGCCACCAAGAAGCCCGAAGTGGCAACATTGGCCTTGTCCACGACTGCCACAAATTGATGCTCGGCTAGGTTCTCCAGATCATACTGTAGGTAAGAAAACGGAGGCACGCGGTCATATGCATTCTTCGAGGTCCGCGTCGATGATGGCAGATAGATGACATCCTCTGCTGCACTCTTACAAGCCAACCGAGTCGAGCCAACAGTACCGCCTGAGAAGTCCAAGTTCATGGAGAAGATGGCTGACCGGCCATTGTTCAACGGGAACACGCTGCAGAAGAGCACCTCAATGTTGCCAGTTTTGTCCAGGGTCTGATCCGTGAGAAGCGTAAACTTTTTGCCGGAGACGCCCTGCGGTGGGATAGGCAAAAGGCGAACATCAGGGCCATGCTGCTGCCCAAGCTGGCGAAGAACTAGCCGCTGGCCCTGTGCAAGAATCGTATTGGCATTATCCTCGAGTGTCAACAGAGTATTCGGCTCCTTTTGAGAGAGCGTCCGCTCAGAGACCGACTCCAGTCCAGTCAAATACCACTGCTTAAGAGCCTGCATACGCTCTGCCCGTGGCTTGGTCTGGGAAGGGCGTCGAGCGTCGATGATGTCAAACAGCGATTTGATGATCGCCTTGCGGAATTGGTCGCACCAGGTGATCGATAAATGGTCCATGCCGATCCACACGTTCGGTATGGACGAGGTGAACACGGTGAACCCATGCGTCTCGGGAACGAGAGACGAGATACTAGTATAATCAGACGGAACCACGGTATCCCGTGCACCACCCGCAATCGAAATCAGTGTGACATGCCAAAGTGGGTTGTTGTTGGCCCAGGTTTGTGAATATGCCTCCCGCCAGTAGTCGTTGATCTGCTTATAGGTATGAACAATATCCGAGTCGAACGAGACGGGGGGTTTCGCGTGCGGTGCCGACATGGTGATGATCGAATTGACCGAGTTCGCCTGGTAATTCGCCATGGTCAGTACAGTGCGGGCCACAATACCGCCCATGGAGTGTCCGATCAAGATCACCGCGCTCGGGTCGGGAAGGCTGGAATCTCGGCGAGTTCGGCGAGGGTCGTGATACAGCGAGAGAATGTAGGAGATTGCCTCGTTCACGTATTCTGCCTGATCCAACAAGGTCTGTCCATGGAAGGCTGCCATATCCTCATTGAAATCCACCATGAAAAAGTCCAGACTGCGTGTTCCGGCAGCGTGTCGCTCCTCGTCATGTCGAACCACATCATAATAGTGTCTCGAGGCCTCTGCCGCCAGAGACCGGACCTGCCGGTAGCTGCCAGCATTTCCGGGGAGAAAGAGTACGGGGACGCCGTTCAACTGGAAAAGTGCAAGAAAACTGTCAGTAACAAGTCACCCACCCAACTAGTCCTGCGCCTACAACACAACTATCTCAGGCTTACCCCAATATTGTCCTGGGTGTACGGATCCACGCCTTCCTCCCGATATAGAAACAGGTTGTACTTGCTCGCGAACCGCGTATGCTCCGTATCAAACTCCAGCATCCGAATAAACGTCGGACTCATCATAGGCACACCACATCCCTCTCCACCGATCTGACGACTCGTAAACGACCGCACAGTGAAGAACAAGAACGCCACGGCGAACAAGGTGGTCAAGCCCGTCAGGATCGAGCAGGACCACGGGCTGCGCAGGCTCGACTGACGCGCACGGCGGCCATCCGGGGATGGGGCCTCCATCGGAAGCCGCGGCGAGCCCAATGGCATGGTTTTCGTATCGTTGGAAGGTTGAGTAGACGGGGTGCGCCACAGGCTCGAGTTCCGCGAGCGCGGCGTCGAGCGGCCGTTGTCACGGCGAAGATCGAAACTGGTGCCGTGACGGGCTATCTGCGACCGCGATTTATCGTTGGAAGGATCAATAGCATTGCCGGGGCCGGGGCCATTCCCATGATCGTCGGAGAAGCGCACGGGAGAATCGTCAGAGTCGTCCGCGACCGGGGAGCCAGACGAGCGTCTGTGCATTGGAGGAGGCGGAGTCGAGACTCATTCAGCACCGGCGACACAGCAGGACAGTCGAGGGATGGAATTGGGGGGTGGATCTTGGCAACGGGGGGGGGGGGAAGGGTCTTCTTCGGGTTGCTTGTCGGCCTCCCAGGACCCAATCGTAAGTGAAAGGGAGAAAGGGATAGGGTGGGAGGAGAGGAGAGGAGAGGAGAGGGGAGGGTTGGAATGCGAGGAGAGCCGACGCAGAGCAGAGCAGTGCAGAGGAGCAAAGCCGAGCAGAGCACGGCACAAGCACGGCAAAGCAGGAAGTGCCAGGAGGTTTGGGCGATCGGGCTTGGTGTGGGTTTCACCGCGCGCTGGTTGGCTGGCCAAGACAAGAAAAAAAAAAAGAGGTCCCTGACGTGCCTGGGGCTCTACTCCACAACGTGGACTTGGACTCTTCGAGATGTATAATTGTAGAGTTAGGAAGGACTTAGGAAAGATTAATGAGACAGATGTAGTAGACAATTGTCTGTGATAGAGGGGTAAAAGGTGATACCACCATCGTAGCTGGTCGATGACCACTAGACCACACTAGTTATGTAGCTCTGGCAGGACTTTTGGACGGAATTGGCATTCCCAGGCTTGGCAGCTCCAGGGACCACACCTATACTCCAGTAGAACATTATCTATAGCTGTAGGTAGAGTAGATTCTGGGAGTTCAGTAGCGAGATAAGTACATTAGATGCCTGCTATACTATGTACATACTTTTCTATAGCCAAGCACCAGCCACTGAGACATTCATTGGTACATCAGAGCAGTAAGCTGGCAGTTCCCATCGTAGTTTAAAAGTAGATCAACAAGTTTACACGAAGATCTATGACAAGTATATCATATACACCATATTCCATCAACTTAAATAATACAATGGCAAAGATAGCCAAGTACATCTTTGTGTTCTCCCACCATATCTACCACCGCAGGCAACCATATTTCCCAGTCATGCCAGGACGCGTACGTGCTTACAGCCCCATCTCAGCCAAGAAATCAAGCTCAAGCTTGACCTAGGTTAGGCTATTTGCTTCCTCAAATTGAAGAATGGTTCAGCTAGACCTCGGACGATCTATTTAGGGGATTATTAAAACATGACTCCCCCTCTGCCTATATGTAACGACCCAGCCTACTTTTGCCCAAAAGTTCAGGCATCTATGCAAACATCAGGCACCCTAAGCAAACTTTTTTCTTCTGCCACTATTTCTACAGTGGTGTTCCATACGTTTGCAACACCCGAAAAAGTTCAAACCCATCTCATCAGCTATACTTTGAAAAACAAGTTAAAACACAGATGCCGGGAATACCTTGAAAGAGGGTTCAAAAGACTTTCAGAAAGATCTGTTAAAAACATAAAATCGAGGCATATTTTGACGGCCTGTTTTCTTGGTCCCTGGTTTCAGACTTTTGAACTGCCACTGTACCACTCTGGTCTCTACAGTCTACTTCCTGGTTTACATACAAAATTTAACACTATTACACATACGCATAAAACTTACTAGATTCGTATTTAGCTTCATGCTAAATCCTACATACTCTTCTGGCTCTCTAATTGGCTAATTTCAAAATCCTCGCTAGCCAAATCCTCCAAATCTTCTACATAAGCTTCCTCCACTTCCTCTGCACCGCATCTACAGCAACGGCCACGGCCGCGCCCATACCAACGACCACTTTTGGCGTTACTGGTGGCTTTGTCGACACCTCCATGCGCACGAGATCTCCAAGGCCGCCTAGGGGCGATAAGAGGTTTGGTGATTTGGGGGGGGGGGGGGGGGGGGGTTGATGGAGAAAAGCGGTGAGGAGGAAGGTAAGGACGATGGAGGAGTTAGTAAGCGACGTGATAATGTAACTAAGTTAACTAAGTTAACTAACTACTAGGTTAGTTAGTTAGTTAGCTAGTTAGTTTCATAATGATTAATCAATTAACTAGTGATTCTATTAGATATGTTTAGTACTCTAGTATCAGTATGTACATCAGATCCCTTATCTTGATATTTTCAGCTGACGATCTGACTAAGTAACACACAAATTTTCATTGGCTCTCTAAAACTTTCGGTAATATATCGGCTAAGTTCTATAGTTCTTGTGGAACTCGGTTAAACGAAGGAATTGACCCGTAATGACGGAGCCAGTCAACTGTGCTTCTCTGCCCAGCTCGCCATTGCCAAGTGCCACGACTTGTAACTGATACCTTGGGTGTTTTCATCCTAAGTCCTTGTGTCTAAACGAACATAATGATGGGTGCATCAATATGGGAAAACCCGTAGTTTAATCTGTATGATTCAAGCTGACCCTAAAAAGCTCTGTCTCCAACTCAGATGCATCGGGGTGTTACATATCAGTGCGTCACACCCGGGACATAGGAGATACAAGTTTTTCACCCATTCTACTTGTTGTATAGTCACTCATTTCATTCATTCATTCAGCATTTGTGTCAACGCTGGCGCTTGACAGGATCCTTTTTTCTTGATTAAGTTTCACCAAACCTTCGCAATGCATTTCCGAATGCACCTTGCGGGCGTCTTCGCCTTGACCTCCATCCCAGGTACCTTCGGTCACTATTTTTTTTCCCGTACTTTATCCACAACAGCAATTTCACCGAGTACTACGAGTATGCCCGCGAAGACACGCAGAATTACATGCCCTGGAAAGGCAACTACAACAGCGATGATTTTCGCTGCAACACGGGTTCTTTCCAGTAAGCTCAGCAGACGGACATCAATAAAGTCAAAGCAGGCGCCCAGATCGGGTTCGGCACAGACTTCGGCGCTTTGATCGGACACCCTGGGCCGATGCAAGTGTATATGTCGAAGGCTCCGGGAGATGTTCGGGATTACACTCAAGATTTGGGAACTCGGCCCGACATCTTTCGGTAGCGACGGCATTCAATGGGGCGTAACTAATAGAGCGAACTTCACCTTCATTCTACCAAAGGAGGCTCCTGCCGGTCAATATCTCGTTCGGATTGAACACATTGCGCTTCATGGAGCTGGGGACTTCGGCGGTGCCGAGTTTTACTTCAACTGCGCACAGATCGAGGTCGAGAGTGACAGTAAGGAAACTCCGGGGCCAGTCGTTAAAATTCCTGGTGTTTGTACTGGATATGAGCCTGGTATTTCGTTTTACATTTACCGCCACTACTGGAGGAACTATACCATGCCTAGCCCCAAAGTCTGGCCGCTCAGTATCGGTAACTCCATCTACGCCGAGGGTGTAACTGGCACCCCCACGGGCACTTGGTCGGCGCCAGCTGTGACTCCTATGATTGGGTCCACAACGGCCATATCTAGCAGCGAAGTGTCTAGATACTCTACCCTGTTGGCCGCGTCACACAAAGTCCAATACCCCTCTAGCAATGTTCCCACCATGTCCGTGGTGACATCCGAGGCCGCAGCCGAGACCACATCTATCCTGAGCTCCTCAGATCAAATCACCGATAATGATTGCGAGACAGTCACGGTTACTACCACGACCACCACCACCATTCCTGAAGATTCTCTTGCCACAATGGAGAGCGCTTGTGTTCCTGATAAAATCACGACTACAGCCACAGTCACCGTCTTTGCAACAGGCAATTAATTAATCACGCTTCTAGCATCTCAGACTATTGTATGAAGTGTCCATCGAATGTCGGCATACCGTTCCTGAGTAACTTGGAACTAACTCTATACTATTACATGAATCGTTGGTGGAATCTGCCCTTAGCTCATTCAACCGTTGTGTACAATATTTATTACTTTTCTTTGCAAGATGACCATCACATACATTCGTTATAGCTCGTGTTGTGCCAATCTTGATTATTTGCACCCCCTTTTGACAACTATCTCCATCTTGAACAGCCCCTACGTGGTAATACGTATCGCGAAATCCATTGGATTTCCTGTCCGTCCCGCTAGTTCGTTGTTTATCCTAGAACCTAATCTCCCCACGCGCCTTGACGAGGAATTATATCAGGTGATTGCCCCCGGTACCTCATGTGCGTTTGCTCCTGGCAGCGTCTAGTGGAGGGAGAACACGAAATTACACACTATCTATGCCCTTGGGCCCACCCACGCCGCTTCTAGTTGTGGCCGTACCTTCGGTAGGGCGCGGATAATGTCCTGCTGGTAAATCGGGTTGCCGCTTGACAGATCCGAGTATGAAATTCTCCTCCTCCTCCTCCACATCGTAATTCGGAATACCCCTACAGTGTTCCTTCGGCTTATTGAAAGTATGAGTCGGGCCCTATCCTACTATATGTGAACCTCATTAGTATATATACGTACATGTACATCACACTCAACACTGCCTTGCAATTGGTTCTGGTCGGGACGGCGATCGGCCTGCCTGTGGTGCCTGAGGCAATCATTAGTGCTTGGCATTTGAGTGAGGCCATGACTGGATTTCAGTACATTATGCCCCAGTTCATGCTTATTCTTCGTTGTCCCCGTCGTTGCCCCTGGTTTTGTATTTGTTTGAAGATGAATGGTGTGTGTGGTCGCGGTATAACCCACTTACCGGTCGGAGTTGGTACATACGACCATAGGGTATAGAGAACAGGGCTTCCCGTCCGCTCAGCCGTACTTAAGCCCATTATAGTACGCGGTCAATTCTCAATACGCCCTGAGCTCTAAAATAGCGTTAGATTTGATCTTAGGGTGAGTGTAGGTGATATAGGTGAGAACTTTCTAGACTAGGGTGATATAGGTGAGAATGGGGTAAGAGCGGGTGAGAATATACGAGGATTCTCACCTATATCACCTAGATCACCTAGGGCACCCACTTTCCGCTTTTCACTTGACTTAGGGCTATAAATATAAGCCTCTATAGCGTATATACGATTTCCCGTTTCTTTCTTTTAATACTTACCTATTCGAAGAACATGCTCCTAAAAGACGTCTAAAAGAAACTGGAGGAGAGAATTGCACGTGCTACGTTACGTGGCTTTACCCGTGAATATTAGAATAAACGGGAAAACGAGGATAACTCTATATACCTTAAAAAGCTTGCTCCGGCTACTCTAGAGAGGTATAAAGACGTAGTAGTAAATTAGGTATTATAAGTTATACTCTTAATAGGTATAGGTTATATTACTTATTTTAGTAGATAGAGACTTTCTCGTGAGGAGGCGACTAATACCTATTTTTCTAAAGTTAAACCTAATCTAACCCCCTAACTTCTAAAATCTTTTACGGAAGACTATATTATAATGAGAAAAAATTTGCCCTTATAGAAGTCTATATATTAGAATTTTATTAACTTTGCTTCGAGATAGGAACGAGAGACTTATCGATCTCTGCCGAAGTATATTAAGGATGATATTCTAAACGTAAGTCTACCTTAATCTAGTCCGTATTATTTATTCTAATAACTTAAAGTATATTAGATAGGATCTTATACTTAAATATAAACTACCTACTAAGCCACGAGAGTGCTTTATAGTTATAGTAAAGGATATCGACTACCTTCTCCGCGGCCTTTTCGGTAATAACTAGTATAATTATAAGCACGAGAGAGCACGTATATAAATAGGGAGTACCCTTATACTTTTCGCTAGGTCGGGTGCTAGGGTAGGTACTAGACTTCGGCACGACCTATCGATAGGTCCAACTTTTGGACCTATCGGCAAACCTATATAGGTTATAGGTTTTTTGAAAGTCGAGGACCTAACCCATAGGTTACCTATGGGTTTTTGATAGGTACCTATATAGGTCCAAAAAACCCTATATCTTGCATAAATCTAGGGCTTGGTATATATAATTTTGCTTACTTAGTAGATTTCTAAAGTGTAATTTTGACCTGTTTTCTCTTGTTCGATAATATATTGTCTTCTAACTATGATCTCTACTAGAAATCTGCTTTTTATAACTAATAAACGAATTTTCGTACTTATTTCTTTGTTAATTTTAGATTAGTATTACATTTTTAGATAGTAGTGGTACGAAAAATGTGAAATATATAAGTTAAAGTAGTTTTGATTAATAAAGATATATATCTCCGCAGGCGTAGTAGATATATAATAAGAAAATCTTTTGTGGTTAATACATTTACTAGGAGAACTTTAAAGTTTTGGGAGGAAATATCAGTCTAAGCTAATAAATAATAAACCTAAATATAATCATTCATGATTCTAATATAGTGTGAGCAAGAGATGCTGCGCAGGTTGGTAAAGAGGAAGATAAATTAAAGATGATTAAATAAGATCGATTGATCTTTCTTCCTCTTGTTTGAATAGGAAGGATAAGTTCAATTCGGCTTAGGATTATAAAGGTAAGAGAAAAGTGAGGTAGGACTGAAGCTTGGTTGATTGTATTGAATCTGCTGATCTGTATGATTGATATCTTGGTAGATAAAACAGGGTATATTTATAATCAATCTTTTATGCAAACTTATCAAACCTCTTTCGCATGTGATCCATCTAGATCTAGGATCTAGATGCATGATGATCTCATACAGACAGATCTAGATGCATAGTGATCTCATGCAGTAGCTGTTTGATTGGTGGTTGCTTGACTGTACGATGTCATTGATCGTAGTGATGATGTAGATCGTAGTGATGATGTAGATCGTAGTGATGATGTAGATCGTAGTGATGATGTAGATCGTAGTGATGATGTAGATCGTAGTGATGATGTAGATCGTATACAATAGTATACGTCTTCTACGATATCATTGACCGTAGTGATGATGGTATAGCGATGTCATTGACCGTAGTGATGATGGTATAGCATAAAGCTTATAGAGATTCAGCCATCTTGTATAGGCCTTATGAATCTAGCTTGATATGCTGCATGACTGTTGCATGACGGTTTAGGCATCTTGCCCTATATCTCACATAGTACTACTACCTTCAAAGAGAACCGATACATCGACAAGGCGAATACCATCAAACTAGGAGACAAAACTTCGGCAAGGGCTTAGGGCTAGCCGCGGTCGGAAGGCCAAGAAATTAGTAATAGCGGAGAAGGAATTAATAAGAAGGGCAAGGTAGATTAGTAAGTAGCGAATTAGCTAACTAGTTAACTAGTAGATAGATTTTAAATTAAATTAGTATATGTTAGTTATGTGATTTTAGTAGGGCTAGTAGGAGGTCATATAATAGGCCTAGTAGTAGAAGATAGAAGAGAAGAAGGAAAGAATGCGTGTGTATAAGAAGGAAGAGGGTGGTTGAATTGGTAATTGAAAGGTATGACGGGCTTAGCAGAAATCAGGCAGAAATCAGGCCAAAGGTAGTGCAGCCAGCATTTTGGGGTAGTGCTAACAGCGTTACCCTTACTAAATAGGAAGAGTCTATATAGTATATTGTGAGCAAGCGATGCTGCGCAGGTTAGGTAGAGAGGAAGAAAGATTAATTGATCTTCTTCCTTAGATTGAATAGGAAGGATAAAATCAATTCGGCTTAGAATCATAAAGATGAGAGAAAAGTAAGGTAGGACTGAAGCTTGGTTGATTGTATTGAATCTTACTTTTTTTCTCTGTATGATTGATATCTTGGTAGAGAAAATAGGGCATATTTATAATCAATCTTTTCTGCAAACTTATCAAACCTCTTTCGCATGTGATCCATCTAGATCTAGGATCTAGATGCATGATGATCTCATGCAGACAGATCTAGATGCATAGTGATCTCATGCAGTAGCTGTTTGATCGGTGGTTGCTTGATTGTACGATGTCATTGACCGTAGTGATGATGTAGATCGTATACTATTGTATACGTCTTGTACGATGTCATTGACCGTAGTGATGATGGTATAGCATAAAGCTTATAGAGATTCAGCCATCTTGTATAGGCCTTATGAATCTAGCTTGATACGCTGCATGACTGTTGCATGACGGTTTAGGCATCTTGCCCTATATCTCACATATATCAACCTTAAATAAGTATCTTAAAATAGTAGGTTACTAGAGGGCTAAAACGAGTAGTAAAGAGGATATCTCTCGGTTTCTAAAAATAGTAATTTATTCTATTAAGTCTTATCTATCTAATACTAACTAATATTAATATTAGGACTAAATAGCTATAATAGAGTCCTTCTTATAAGTAGTTTAGAACGCTTAGCTTCTATAGTTCCTTACTTTAAACTATCTACTATTCTATCTTATTAAGTATCTATCCTTCTATACCCTTATTCAATTAGCGTATTTAGCCCCTACTTCTCTAGTAATACTATCTATAACTACGATTTAGCGACGATTACGGGATATTATCTAAGAGGTATAACGCTCTACCCTTTAAATACTTCTACCTAGCTTAAAGATATTAATTACTCTAGATTGCTAGATATCCCTATATAATCAAGCCTTTATAGCGATTATAGGTTATTTTATTAACGCTAATTAGGTTTATTAAGAGGTTCTTCTTAGATTTAAGCTATTATATAGCTCGTATATAGATATAAATCTAAGTATAGTTCTTCTTAAGATATTAATTAACTATAATATCTAAGACCGGGTATTCAGGATTATAACGGATAATACGATAAATAACAAAATATTAGTTAAGATAATTTAGTAAGCACTTCTAAGTAATACTACTAAGATCCCGGGAGCATTTTCTGCCTTAGGCTCCCTTTCAGTGGGCCTGACCTACTGACCCCTTC